TCACTGAGTGCCTCGACCCATGGTGAGTTTTTTTCTGTGTTGTCTGCTCCCAGTTTATTTGGCATTCGTGTCACCCATTAGAATTTGATGTCGCCATCTGGGGTGGGATCTTGTCCAGTAATGATTGCAGTTGTCTGTAGAATTCCTCCTTCTCTTTGTCCGCATTATTTGTAGGTGCATAGCGTAGCATTGTGTGATCGTAACTTTCCTTCCTTTCGACTTGAATCTTGCTGTCGTGTTCCCCACTGCATGACAGTCTTCAAGGGGACATCATGATAGCCACTCCAAAACTCAGAGTGCTCGTGGTTGTCATCTGGGTGACAACGTCAGCGTAGATTATTGACTCTCCATTTGATAGTTTGGAGAGTCCACTTCCATTCCATCTGCTTTCGCAGATTCCAAGCACTTCTATGCTATACCTTCCCATTTCTTTTGCTTTTATCAGGAGAAGAGAAGACACATCGGTCATTTGGCTTCCTGAAGACTTTCACCAACCGACGTTATTTCGTCTTCTCGATTCCAGCCAGTAATAGGTTTGTTTTTATATTCTCTCTGTGCTTTGAAGTTTCTTTAGCGATTGGATTGGTTTTATGGGGTGGAGTCGCTAGCCCCACGCCCACGCCTCTTTTTCCGGGCTTGAGAGCGGCTAGTGAACTATTAAAGGATGAATTCTATGAGGCTGTCAACTTTGCTACAGAAAGCAAAATGTTCACATGTAGTCATTATGGCAGGTGACTTTAACGCTCACTTAGGAAGCTGAGCCAATTGGAAGGGGATTTTGGGAATATTTATTTTATCCCATGCCAATGAGCCGACAACGGTGATCGTTTGTTGTAATTTTGTTCTGACAATCGTTTGCTTCTGTCCAGGACCAACGTTAGGTATAAGGAGAGACACTGTATCACATGGGGTCTGTGGACTTCAAACCAAGGATGGACACAGTTGATATTAATATAAGCTATCGTTGGAAGATTGCCGGTATTTCTGGATTAGGTGTTTGGACTAAGAGCACGCGCTACTACGGGTTCATGTTTGTCTGCGCCTTGCTGGTCTCAGAAAACAAGGTATCTTAAAGCCTGTCTATTCTCGATTGGAAAATGACATCAAGTGCGCATTTCGGGAAAAGATAGCTAAGCACTTATCTGTACGTGACAAAAATACTCATGCTGTGGAAACCTGTCGTCCGCTATAGAAACAGCTGTAAAGACAAGCCAATTTGTAAACTACACCCGAACGTTAGCAAACGTCATTGGATTTCCGTGACGCCATCCGAACTGATTGATACGAGAAGAGTGATACCACCGGGCTGTGACCATGATGAAGAGCGAAAGTAGGTTAAACATAAGTTGGCTAAGAGTCTTCACAATGATCGCGAGCAGTGGTGGATGGTGAAAGCGAGAGAGATGGAGAAGGCATCAGCGTTGGGTAACATTCGATAGCTATTTAGGCTTATTGAGGAAACCTGTAGGAAAAAGACGATGGTTAGTGAGACCGTCACCGAAAAGGATGGAACACTGATAACCTCCCAAGACAGGCGGCTAGAACGTTGAGCAGAACACTTTGAAGCACACTTTAACTGGTCGTCAGCAACGCTTCAGATATTCAACGTCGGTCCTCCAACTCTCTTTGAAGTTGAGAAAGCTAGTATCGAACCTGAGACGATCCACATCAGTAGGATTTGACAGTTTGCCACCCGAAGTTCTCATGGATGGAGGTAGGGAATCGCTAATCAGATTGACGGAGGTACTAGGTAGTGTATGGGTATCGGAGGTAGTGCCGTCAGACTGATCTACTTCTCGAGTCATCCCAGTCTATGAGAAGGGAGAGAAATCCTTCTGTGACAACCATACGGGAGTTAGTTTGACTACTTTTGTGTCCAAGATCCTAGGGTCCATAGTTATCCGACTCCTAATTGGAACTCGAGAAAACTAGGGAGGTTTTGGACCTGGAAGAGGGTGCGTCGATCATATTTTCTCCCTCCGACAGGTTCCGGGACACAGACATACCTACCGGCACACGACACTTACCGTATTTGTTTACCTGATAGACGAATATAACTCTATCGACCGTGAGGTGTTCTGGCAGTGTTTGACTGTGAAAAAAGTACTGAGCAAGTGTGTAACGCTAATCAAAGCTCTCTACTCGAACTCACACAGCTGTGCAAACTCTTATGGAGAGTTGCTATTTGAATCGATGATGACTAGTGGTGTCCACCAGGGATGCCCACTGTCATCGCTCCTATTCAACTTCGTCATAGATGTACTAATGGACGTCACCTTAGGTATGTCTGACTTCACACGGATTAACTTACACCCTGAAGGTCATCTGCTTGACTTGGAGTACGCAGGCAACATTGTCTTGTTGGGTGAGGATGCTGACGAAATGTATGGTCTTCTGGACATGTTGAGCAGAAATTTGAGTATGTTTGGCATACGCTTTGCACCTCTCAAATGTAAGATGATGCTTCGGAACTGGTCTGCTACAAGTGCTCCCAGTTTAATGATAAGGAGTGGAGTGGCGGAATGTGTCGATCACTCCACTTATTTGGGGAGTTGCATCAGCTTGAATGAGCTGGTTGCTGATGAAATCTTACCTTGAATACAGAAGGCCTGTTTGGCATTTGTCAATTTATATCACCTTTGGCACCGGCGAGATTTCAGACCATCCATCAAAGGACGGATATGCTGCTCTGCAGTTTATTTTGTCTTGTTATACGGCCGTAAGAGATGGCTGTTAAAAGTAGACGACGTGAAGCGGCTGCAAGGTTTTGATCATAGATGTCTTTGTAGCGTTACTCGCGTTTGACGAAATCACCGTGTGAGCAATGTTGAGGTCAGGCGAAGGGTACTAGGCACGAAAGCCTAGTGGATTGTGAACTTTAGTCGACTGAGGTGGCTTGGACACGTACTGCGCGTGCCTAGACCGCCTACTTCAACGTGCCATGCTAGGTGAGGAAGCTGGACCAAGTTGAAAGAGGGTTCAGTTTGGTCAGACCAAGACGTGACACCAGTCCATGAAGTCCCTTACTGTTGGTCGGAATCGTTCGGGAGGATGTAGACTATCTAGCTGGGGTCCTCGAGACGAAAGGAGTCAGTGATTGAGGACTCTTGGTGATGGCTGGAAATCGGTCGCAGTGCCGCAGATGTATTCACACCTTGATATCTTCTAAGGCTTGAATATTTGCACTAACCTTTATCTTCAGATTGTTTATTCTCTTATACTACTTTATCTACTTTGATGTTACTCATTTTCTATCCATCTGTTCCTTTTGTACTATTGTGAAGCGTGGCAACTTGAGCCGATGCACCTCTGTGTGAGGTTCTACGTTGATTTTGTCAGTCAGTCAAAGGATGAGATGTGTAGATATTCAAAGTTTAACCAAATAAACATGTGTGCAAAAGGGTTTAAGAAAAGGCAGGAGGTGAAAATTGAATATATCTTTAAAGTCATTTTTAAAGTTTTCTCTGGTCAATGTAGGGATAAGGGTTTCACAAACTTTTTCTTCACACAAAGACTAGGGTTAATTTCTTTGATTCCCATAGCCTCACCTATTTGTAATTTGCGAGTGCGAATTTCATTCGAAAGATTTTATGGAATGAAGTATGTAGTTTCGAACGTTTTGGTCTTGTTTATTACCTGACCACTATCGAGCAAATGCGACAGAATTGAACTTCGTATTGACTTCAATTTTCCTTTTCCTAGCCATGATGGTAATTGCTAGCTAGGGCAAAGATTCAGTCAAAAAGTAAAAAGAATACTAGAGTGGGTCGTAACTGACAAATGCTTGGTACTATCTGACTACGGTCCCTTTGGAATTTGAAGGCGTAGTTTCAAGAAATCTAAAACACCACTGAGTTTAATTTTCAATTGATTATGAAATGATGAATATATGACAGTTCGCATGTAGAATGATAGTTGGTGTAAGTGATTAAAGAAGGCAACAGAGCAGGGGGGAGCACACCGAAAGTCGAAATGAAAGTTCGTAACGTTTTATTTATTGGAATGTTGCTACATTTCCCACATTTACCTGTAAGGAAAATTCAAAGAATTGATTTACTACTAACTCGAAACAGCTCACGGTTTTTATTCTACAATTTGTGTAAAATACTGAAAATATTCCTTATTATCCTGACATGCAAATCATCTAAAATTTAAAGTGGTACACTTGTTTCGGAAGTTCGACAACACATCGACTCAAAATGTTATTAAGTAAAATCTGTTGGTCATCAGTCCATTACAACCAACTAGTCACTAAGGAAATTCGTTCGTGGTTTGTTTCTCATTAAAATGATTTTCCGTACTCTCCATTCGTCATAATATTTATTTGTTGGGAGCTACCCTCTGAATGAGTGGCACTATATTTCTTTTGTTAACAAGAAATTGCGCTCATCTGCCTTGTTTTTTGCAGTGAGATTCACAAAATATACCTTCTGACTGCCTCTGTTGGTAAGTAGTTACACTTGAGTCAATGAAAAAAGGAAAACTTTCGAATGGTCCAAAACTTGGGAGTTCCTGCTTGTCGAATAATCAGATAAGTGCCAGGATGGAATGGTGGTAATCGCAAACTAGTTGAGTGGTGTTATATAGCTCAGTTGTATATGCATTTAAACTCCGCGACGCTGAATCTCGTGAACCAATTTTTTTATTATTTCCGTACATTACATATTCTGTCTCCTACTAATTTCATCCACCTATTTATAGACGTTAACAGTAGGTCTATTGTTTCGGAAATCTTTATTTATGTAAACCAAACTTTGAATATGATATTGGACTTCATGTTATTCAACTTAAAAATCAACACCATCAACAAGCTATCATGTATACTTTCACAGACCGTTGTAAGTCTATCTCTTCAGCTACATTGAAGTCCACTCCTACTTTTCCCTCTGTACTCATAGATACGTTAACCCATACATTATAATCTAGTTGTAACTTGATATACTGTGTTGTTATTTGTATTTATCGTCTTGATCCGTTTTATTCTATCAATTACGTTTTAGATGTCTCAAGATGTTGTAGAAAACTTAAAAACAATAGTTGTCAAGCCTATAGTTTACGGAAACGTTTCACGTTATTTGGGCAAAAAGCGTGAAGAAGATGGACGAACTCATCAATGGACTGCATTCCTTCGACCTTACAATACCAACGAAGACCTATCCACATTTGTAAAAAAAGTTCAATTTAAATTGCATGAAAGTTATTCAAATCCTATACGAATTATAAGCAAACCCCCTTTCGAACTAACAGAAACAGGATGGGGAGAATTTGATATAACAATGAAAGTCATATTTACAGATTCAAATGAAAAACCTTTGGTAATAACTCATCTTATCAAATTGTTTCACTGTGACCATGAAATAATGATGGGCCATAAAAGCTTGGTTCGAGAGATCTACGATGAAATGGTGTTTGTTGATCCTTCTCCATCCTTTTACCGTTCGCTAATGAGCAGATCTCAAATTCATTCAAGCGTACCAGCAATCGCACACGAAACTGATTTTAAAGAAACGAAACGCCAAGCTCTTTATTCTATTCAAGAGTTGAATAGGAAGGTTACTGAAGCAATAGAAGTGTATAAGAAGCAATTAATATCAAGGAAGGGAATTATCGAAGAAGTGAAATCAGTTGTGAATGAAGTAGATGCTGCGACTGTTGGCACGATTCTTCAGTAGTTATGTAAATAAATAGTTTAAACACCTTAGCTAATGAAGCTCACCGTCTAATTGATGTATATACATGTATATAAATATAATCATTGATAAATAGTGGTTTTTCAAGCATAACGCCCTACTTGAAATAAATATCTTCTTGACAAGTCAATCTTATTTTATATTATTTCATTTCAAACAAAAACCTTGCACAGCAAGGGCACCAGGTGCTGCCCTATACAGTAATGATGCAGCTGAAACGCAATACAGGTTTATATACTAGATTTCGATCCTAAGGCAAAGTAGGTGAGGCAGGGTTGCTGAAAGCCGAGTGCCAAAGTCTTCAAGTTAGTTTCGAATGCGCTGAAGGTAGCCTTAAGCATCTGAAGTAATAGCAGTCGGATTCCAAAAGAAATACTGTTCATACTCGTACTGTATATGTTGTAGTACATACATTATTGTTCAGAGATCTAATCATTATTGTAAGTAGATAAATGTGAGTTGATTAGTTTTCCCATGTAAGAGCAAAGTGGATATCTACTATAAACGACTGTGGTAAACTAAAATGGTTATAATTTTATATAAAAAGTGACTTCTCATCTTTGACCATTGAATCCCTGAATATAATTTCGCAATCGAAGCGAACCACCGATACATTTAGTCAATATCAGTATGATACTTGTCATTACTGCGTAACGGCCCAAATTATCGGATTGGTTTCAGTGATATCTATGGAACTATTCTGCCAACAGTTAACTAAATTTTTCTATCGAACATGATAACCACTCTTGCAGTAAACGTGTTGAATTTTGCCTAAGATGATCGTTAGGTTCACAACAATTTAGCGTGAAACACCGAGATCTGATAAGAGGTTCTGTGCTATTTAATAAGTTTGCAGTGTATGAATGACAGTTAACCGCAAAAGAAGCCTATCAATGGGACAGCCAAATGAACGACTACAAGCAGATAATGACAACATGTATCAGATTAGCATGATTATGAGTGGTGTACACATGCGAATCTAACCAACCATAATATCACTCCATCTGATTAGTCCCACATCTGTAAACTATTCGAAAGCTGAACAGTAGACTAGGCACCATATTACTACTATTCCCAAACTACTGTATGAAGACAGATTTAATTTATGTTTTCCTTCCCAACCAAAATGTTATATATGCTAGAATGTTAAAGTGAGCAATTACTTAGGAGATACTGTCTACATATTATCATCGTTATCAGCATAGGACCAGGCATTACTATGTAACGGTCAGAGTTGTCGCAGCTCATATTAGTACATCAAGTAAAAAGGCAGTGAGCTGCAAGATGAAGGGTTTACATATTAATTTGTTCTGAACCCACTGCTAGCCGTGATAGCGCAAAAACCATACGGTCAATTTATTGGAATGTAATAAACTTGTGATGGGAAACAAGTTTTCAGCACAATAATTTGTCGACAATAGGGTGATGAATGCAGTTGGGACGATGAGTACTCTAACTGACGTGAAATAACTCATGACAACTTTACTTACCGCAAGGGTGGCGACACTAATAGCGAACTATTTGTAGCCTCAGAGATGAATATGAGAATATTATTAATAGACTTATCAATCTGCTGAAATAAGGACTTGTACATTGAACACTTCAAAAGACATTCAAGATGAGGAACACAAACAGTCCCACTAAATAAAACAGATCAATCAAATACGTGATTCCGATAAAATAGGTTGTGGGAAAGTGTCTGAAGGGTACGACGGGTGAATATTAACCTGGGATTTAAGCCTATGCATCACAATATAGTGATTTTCATATCATTACTACTCTTGCGTTCAGTGATATTTTGTCATATATTCAATACTATCTATGCCGAAAGCTCACGGTACATTTGCGTATACTCTAAAAGTAAGGTGAACATATTTAAATGTTACGGATACAAACGTAGTAGTAGATTCAACTTAGTTCAATACTTCTAAGAATTCATAAGGATGGTTGAGCGCTAAGTAATACGAAGGTAAAACGGTCCGGTAACTGTTGTTCATAGAAGACCATCACGCTCTAATATGTGTGTAGACTAGACATGCATCTCCACATCGATTACAGTAAGTTTGATAAAATAATTAAATAGTCGGGTTTGAATGAAAAAACATCGAAGAGTTACTCTAGTTAATAGTCCCCAGACAAAATGTGTCACTGAGACGCCTCTAGAATCTGAAAAAGCTTTTCGTGTTTGATTTTACAGGGTATCATTTAAAACAGAAACTACTTAAGCTAGTATTTTGAAATACAACAGGTCTTATAGCGATGAAACAGGGAGTGTCAGACTTAAGTTACCAACAAGTACGACGATGGCGAGTGCCTAGAAATAAGAACCAAATCGAAGTAGAGACTTCCTGTCGAATGCCTTTGATCAAATAACAGAGTTGTTTCAATGTTGCCTTATAAATTCCTAAACTAAAGCAGAGTAATCTCTTGGATCTCACTCGAGAAGTCGTAATCCAGAAAAGATGCAGACGAGATATGAACACATTTAACTCCATGGTATCATGTAAACGAATTACGTCTTTGTTTTCAGATAGTTTATATCTCACTAAGTAGCAATCACTGTACAAGATGGCTAAGACGGTGTGTTAAATTGGATCACGCTACCGAAACTAGTGTTGTAGGATAAGTCAGCCGACTGAATACTTATCCCCATCACGACTAAACGCGCCACAGGCTTACACCATCTCTTCTATGACTTTGCTCCCAATATCAGCAATAAGTCAATCTCAAAAAAGGACTCATATTTGTCAGTCGTGAGGAGCGTTCGCCAAGAGTTATTTTAGTCATCATCAAAACCAACATAGGATCAGGCATTACTACGGTCCAAATTGCCACACCTCATATCAACACATCAAGTAACAAAGCAATAAAATGGAAGATGGAAATAAAAATCAGTCGAAAGAAGTAGGAAAAGAGGGGAAGGTGGAGTGAGGGAATGATGAGATTAAATATAGCGGTTAAGGTGAGAATAATGTGCGTATACATCTGTGCCACTAACATCGGTTCTGGGCGATATCAGCTACCGTCTCCAACCGCTGGTTTTTCTTGTCCAGCGGATCCCAACCGGCTAGTCTGCATCGCCCTACATGGCTCCAACGAACAGTCACAGACTTCATGCACTGATATCATGTTTTAGTCTGGCCGCCCCGAGCACTTTTTCATCCTGAATCTACTTCGGCCAACATTGTGAGATGGGGTCGACGGTGGGTAGGCATAAGTAACACATATCTAAGCCATCTCAGTCGATGGATGTTTACAACCGCACCAGCTGACTCAACTTTCCTGCCTGAAACTCTACACCTGGCTTCTGCGTTGCTCACGTAGTGACACCACGAAACACGGCCCACGATACGAAGGCAACGGTGGTCAAACACCTGAAGCCTTCTACTATCTTCTACCTTTAGTGGCTATGTTTCGTGGTCATATGGCAGAACAGAGCGGACTGTAGCACAGTCGGATATCGTGGCGGCGCCACAGACTGCGTAAGTTAGCAGAAGTCAACCGAGTCTTCTCCATCGGTGCAGAGATTTCGTCGGTCACTGACCCAGCAGGGTTGATCTGACTACTCAGGTAAGTGAAGTTATCAGTGCGCCCAACCACTTCACTCTCTGTTGAAGACCAGCTCTGGAGAAACGCATCACGAACATTTTCAACTTGCTACTCAAGGTGTCTAGAAGACTGCATCTTGTCAGCGTTTTCACCTAACAGGACTATATTATCCGTGTATTCTAGGTCAACCAAAAATTCTCCTGTGACTTACTTAATCCCTGTTTAGTCAGATGATGAGAGGGAGATCTCCATAAGGACGTCTATGATAAAATTGAATAAGAATGGACAGAGTTGGCATGGTCGACGGACACTACTCGACATCTCACCATGGGCTGTAACATGCCAACAGGTGTTAGAGTAAAGAGCCTTCAAAAAAGTGATGTACTTACTCGGTACTCAGTAATAAACATTGCCATAAAACTCCTCGATAGACAGAGTAGGATGCCGCCTTCAGACCGAGAAATATAGCTATTGTTGCGCATCGGTAATCGTGTCTGTATTCCAAAACCGTGCACAGTGTGAATGCCTGGTCGATATACCCACGGACAGATCTGAAGCCTGCCTAGTTTTCTCGACCTTGCTGTTCCCCAGCTCCACCACAGAACCTAGAATTTCAGACCATGTTCGTCAGGCTGATTCCTCTGTGGTTATCACAAGAGGACTTCTCACCTTTCTTGAAGACTGGGATAATCAGTAATTGAGGCCAGTCAGATGGGATCATGTCTGACTCCCACACACTAGTTAACACTTCAGTTAACTTGACTAAAATCACTCTATCACCATCCTCATATACCTCAGGAACTAATCCGTCCGGCACTGCTGCCTTTCCTCGTTTTAAGTTACGTACCGCTCCCCCAACTTCTGCAAGTGTTGGAGCGCCTATCTCAGTTTTCCACTCAGGACCCGACTAGATAGCGGGCTACGCAATAGTAGCTGGAGGTTGGTCAAACTATTCTACCCATCATTCCAGTCGCCTCCCCTGCGGGTGAATCGTAGACCAATCCTTCTCCACTATGGTCTTACTAACCGTTAGCCTTTTTTGCCCCAGTTTCCTTAATAAGTTTAAATAATTGTAATCTATCACCGCTGCTTTTGCCATCTCTTTAGCCTTCGCTGCCCAATACTGTTCGCGGTCATTGCGTAGACCTTTTGTCAGCCTACATTTAAGTTGCTTTCGCTCCTCATTGTACTCAGAGCTTGCAGAGATTCACTTGCGTGCAATCTTACTTCAGAAGCTGCTGACACCGATTGGCTCTTTTTACCACTCATTGAGAGTTGGCTCAGGTCTTCAACACTGTTTTTACAGCAGAGTGGAGATGACACCGAGCTTCTTCTGGATGAGCGATAGTCTTCTGTTCCGATTATTGCCCTGGTCAATTTCTCGTTCAAAGCGACCTTAATGCTCTCATTGTTGAGCTGCAATCGTAATGGTCTTGTTGCTAAAGGTTTTCTACGTCCAATGAGACGTAGACATATACGCGCTCGAACCAAAGCGTGGTCGTTACCCAAACACGTGCTCCAGAAGGAGCAGCAGTCTTCCACCGACCTTCTCTAGCAATGTAGTCTATCTGTGTCTGTCACTGAGTTGAGCACGGTGGACTCCAGGTCATACAATGTCTTTATGTCTGAAGTTTGTGCTAGCTAGGAATGAATAGTTACCTGGACACAGGTGTAGTATGCAATCACCGTTCGTTCAGCCGGAATTCCGGAAGTGGCACTTAAGTACCCTTCTGTCTGACTCATCAAACCCACTTGTGCACAGCAACCAGGTCTAAAAGTCTGCCTTTCATAAGGAGGCTAGACAGCTTTCGGTAGAACTCATCTTTCGCTGCATACGAAGTGGAGTCAGTGGGTGTGCAAGCAGACATTACGAAGAGACGACGGGGATTTTCACTGTTCCTTTTAGTTCTCACTGTCGTTCAGCCAGGAAGTGCATAGGCGACTGTCAACTGGGAACCAACCTAGTAGTGAGCCTCCTGTCCTAGTGCTTAATGCTATCCCAACATCTGCAAGATCGCGAACAGCAGCCACCGAATCTCCAGAAACTAGAAGGGTGAATTTTGAGGTTTCACCATATTGGTGGGGAGACGTTTAGTGATTAAAAGCGCCTGTATGTATGTCTCCTTTAATCATAGTAGGCATTTAAGTGAATGTAACTACTTCTTGTTAACTGGAAAAAAACGAAGTGAAGGTAAGTGGTTATAAGCTTTAATAAAAAACAACGAGGATTGTTTTGCAAAACAAATATTTAGACAAGCACGAATCCCCGTTTGTCAGCGCGACAGAAGTTATAGCAAACAATGGATGTTCACTAGTTAGAAAAAACCCAGTCCACCTGACTAGACGTAACCAGACGTATTGTATGATGCAGAGAACCTTTTCAAACGAAATAGCGAAGAGTAAGTGCGGTAGATAGAATTTGTTGTTGCAGAACAAATTCTCAGAAGTCATCATTTAACGGTAATATTAGTCAGTGATTAGGGTCTATTCGGTTGTGATTGTAAAAACCAACGTCAAATTTAGTTTACACTAAAAACATGTACATTGTACGCTTTAGTACTCAGTCACCCATCAATATAATCAAGTAGTGTCGATGAGTTATTCTCTTTACAGTATCACCTCAGATTGATGACATCAAGAACTTGTAGATGGACATTGCGTCGTTTCGACAGAAACATATTCGATGATTACACACATGACAGATGAGAAAAATGAAACGTATTTATTGAGCCAAAAGTTTTTTTATCTGTACCGTGCCAATAATTCTGTAGGTTTAATTGTAAGCGATTTCATCTGCCGTTGTCCTGGATACATTCGAACTGAAAAACTTGTTGGATGTTTATTGTCCTCTGTCAAAACTCCGAGAATATCCTAAAATAACTGACATGTAAAATCCCCCTTGGGTTTCATCACTCACTGTAGCTAAATCTGCTACAAAAACGTTCCTAAAAAAACACAAAAGCATATTTAGGCTTGAATGAAGGTGAAGCCGTATAGAAAACCTCAATGACTGTTTAAAGCATTTTATCCCCGTAGCTTCCGGGATATAGTATTTGAGTTTTTGGAACAAAAACAACAGTATCATTATAAAAGTATATTTCAATATAATCCCAGCATGTTTAGAAGACAAAAGTATTTTGAGGAAAACAGAAGATAGAATAAAATTCAACACTAATTGCACATTCCTAAAATGATATATTGTGCTACTATTAAAGTGTTCTGCAGCTTGTCAAATCGAGTGTTTACATGTGAAAACATGTTATTATCGAAGGGGCTTTACTTCGTTGATTACTAGCTACACTGGAAGTTGGATCGTACGCACAATCAGCACAAAAACTGAAGCAATAAAAATTGCAAAGGAAGCCAAATATGAAGTTTCGTTTGTTTTATTTAGTCAAAAGCGAGAGTAGGAAGTGCACTCCGCTCTTTGAAAATGACAATATACATTTTAAGATAACCTACAACAGTAACATTACCGTTGTAATGACTACATCGCACTATGAACAGTCAATAAGTTTATTTACAGGACCATAAAAAGATTATAGGGAGCGGAAAATGTACATCAGCACTTAAAAAACGCCAAAACTACACATGAAATCTTTGCATACTATGAAGTTATTTAATGCCCGACAGTTTAATCTGACACGCAAATGTTGCTCAATCTACAGTTGTGGGGATTTTTCGATCTCAAGTTAGAATTCATCACGGACTGACAGAAGTCTGGAGACCACTGAAAGCCTGCGAGCTTTGGACAGCCGTTTTGTCCTAGCACAGGAATCCCCAGTCGTGCTATCCGTAATCCCACCAAGGGCCAAACTCAGGATATTCAAGTTTCATGGCGAGTACGCTACCCCTGAGCCACTGGATCAGCATCCAATGGTTCACACTTACCAACTCCTGTCAATTCGTGATATAGTATGATGTTTGTCCAATTTCATCGTTCAGTATTTTCCCACACACTGTTTCGCTCTACCGGTTACGGAAGTCAATGAGGCAAGCCAAGTAGAAGGTGAAGGCAAATACTGAACGACGCCATTGGATGAAGGTCATGCTATATCACGAACTGACAGAAATTGGTAAGTGTGAACCATTGGATACCGATCCAGTGGATCAGGAGTGGCGTACTCGCCGTGAAACTTGAATGTCCTGAGTTCAGTTATTGGTAAGATCGTGGGCAACACGGCTGAGGAGTCCTGTGCTACGACGAAATAGCTATCCAGTGCTCACGGGTTTTCAGTCGTTTCCAAACTTATGTAAGTCCATGATGGATACCAACGCGAAATATTATGTTATATCACCTCACGACCTTCTTAAAATCCATAAACTGAACATTTTGATCCAATCAACTGTGGGTTTTACCGATTTTTAAGTGCATGATCTATCCAAATGCCTGGACAACACTCCCAAAACGTTAGAAGATAAAACGGTGCTAGTATCCATCAGTATTTAGACTTCAAAGATAAACTGATATAAATAAACATTGAAAATTATGAATTAATGGGTAAGTTGGATGCACTTTCCTTAAACACAAACATTTTTACTGCAGGCGTAAACGATATTAGGTCTTTACTAGGATCTGAACCTTCCTTATCACTTGAGTGCATTTATTATACTATCTTAACTTATGAGGCTGTCAAATTACGCTTATCTTCAACATTTTTACCTTCCGGATATACCTTCGCCAAGATACAACTAGAGCAGGAGTGCATTCACTGGTTTGAACAACTGCAGTCAACTTGCATATATTAAGAACTAAACTACACTTACTTATCGAGCATTAGAGTATTCTTTATAAAGAAAAAAACTCCTGCGTTTATAGTTATCCAGAATAAACGACATTTCCCAACTACAATATCAAAACTGTTAACAGAAGGTAGAGTGCAGTGAATGCGAAGCATATCTCGAAGAAAACACACCAGGTTTTTATAAGCCCAACTATATGGTCGAATTTGCACACAGCAACGAAAAAATTTAAGTGAACTAGAGATGTTTGAAAACCTTCATGGGCATACTAGTAAATGGTGATGAAACTCACTTGCTATCAGCTACATAAACACAAAATTAACAAGTGAAGAACCTCGTACACATTATTAAGCTGTAGATTACGATTATGAAATTCGTTCAGGACGTACGAGTGACAAAAAGTAAATTACATTAGGAGGTTTATTTAGCTGGAAAGCAGGAGACTGATCGAAATTGAAATGGGTTACAGAATCATATATTATTCATCATCTCTGTGTTTAACAATTCCTTTCGATATGAGGTCAGGTATTTCCACAGCTAACCAAGGGCCCAATCCAAGTGCTATTGCGTGTGCAATACCAAATTTCGGAACATTCCTACTCCAGAGTGGCTTAAAGTGATCAGTAAGGCAAATTTTTCCGCCTCTATACATCTTTGCTGTTTTTCCATCTAGTTCTGGTAGAGCAAGTTCCGGGTTTGTGCTGGGATATGAAACAGGAATGTCAAAATTGAGTTCGAACTCATATTTCTTCATATCTTGTATGTACCTGCAAAAAACTGTCAAGCAACAGTTAGGCTTACCAACATTTTCCATACCACCGAGTTCCATTTTGGTTCGATTCGATACGAAACCAATCGTTGTCTGAAGCTTTATTATTTTCAACGTATTTTATTAGTGCTTGATATTCCTCTTTCAGTCTTTGGATCCACATTTCCCCATCTAAAGGACCCGCTCGGGTTTTAAGAAGGGGAATCGCAGCAAGCGTCTTCTTTGTAGCTTCATCGACCATGAACACCGATCACAAGTTGCTGACAACGTAGCAACCACTTTATTTTGACCGCTAGTTCAGTATCCAATATCTTTTCACGAGCTAGTGTAAATCAATCGATTTCTTCGCGCTCGCTTCTGGGTCTCGTGGAAAGGTTCCAGGTCTGTGGTGGACTCTGATGCAGTACGTCTACCCACTGGACTGCTGTAGCTCTGGTTAGCCCGGTGGGCGGTTGGGTGTTGGTTAATTTCGTAGGGAGTGTTGTTTGTTTTTCTTTCAAGGACTGTGGTGCAGATGGGTTCCTCGGGTGTCGTGCTAGCAGACAATTGGTCGTACTGCTTGTAAAAAGGAGATAGAAAATTTGCCTAGAGAGATAAGGGGAGAGAAAGTGCAAAGAGTGACAAATAGAAAAAGAAAAGAAAGAAAAGGATGGTTAGGAAAACGGAAACGTAAAGTCAGTAGGAAGGGGAGTAAAAAACACTATGGGACAGATGGGAACAAAGACAGCAACTTTGTCTGTAGGAGACGGTAACCAAAGGGGACATCTTCAGGGAGGCTTAAGGTTGAGCCAGGTTCCCAGTGCCAGTGGTGTTACAAAGTATTCGATAATGGGTTAGCCGTGTTGAGTTAGTAGGTTGTGTCAGCCTAGTCCATATCCCAGCTAGGTGGGTGCTAACCGCCTGTCGCCGCGTAACTGTCCAACCCCTTCTTGAAGCTGTCAACAGACGGAACAGTAGGGATGTCGTTTCATTTTATTCGGTCGTACTCCGTCGATGGTCACAGGAGTCTACGTTTTCTTGCTTACAACTCTGGAAGTAGTGATTGTCTACTTGTAGGCATTTCACTTGCAAATTGTAGCTTGGCTTGTTTTGGGGGACAGCAGAGCTGTTGATAAGATCAATCAACCGTCTGCAGTTCTTGTTCTTATAAGTACCAGCAAGTAAGTACTGAGAGCTACTTAGAAGGTGCAAGAAATAGGGTGAGTGAGAAACGAGAAAAAGAGGAGTCAAAAGTACTTATGGAAATATAAGTGTTACTGGTTACAATATGGAAAGGAATGCGTCTTGCTGAGGGTACTAGGGTTAGGGAATACATGGGTGGAAGAGCATATCGTCAGTTGCTACTGACAAATGTTCGTGGTAAGCCGTTTGAGCCCACCTACTCATACAGAAGTCGTTCGAAGGAGTTGACTGACGTAGCCGTGACCACTTTCTCCGGCAGACCGTCCCATAAGGCACATACTCAATGGGAGGGGAAATTAGATCTGACTCTCGTCTTTGTCTTATGGTGGGGTGTGCGAGTGGAGCTCCCACGGGACTGTCGGTTCTGGACCGATAACGTAGTCCTGTTTGGGCGATCCACTCGGTGAATGATCTTATAGAATGTTATCAGGCCGCCCGTTTCCTTCGATAGCTTGGCGTGAACAAGTCGAGCCGTCTGAGGCGTTGCGCATATGTTTTGCCTTTTAGTCCGACAACCGACTTCGTCGCTCTTCTCTGCACCTACTTGAGAGTATTTGCGTCTCTCTTTGGTAGTGGGGGAGGGGGCTATCGTACTGAACACCTCTAGGTGTGGTCTAACGTAGGTTTTAACCACCATAAGGAATAATTTTGGGGTTAACGATCCAAGCTGCCTTCTTAGGGAGTGCGTAATGGCGTTCGCCTTTACTGCCATTTCCTCATAGTTGTCAGTAGTGTCTAGCGCATCGGAAAAGTTTAGTCCTGGCTCCTTCTCTGTGGGTACCTCGGTGGTTGCATACGTGTTAAGAGTGTGGCTGACTTTCATCGCTTCTGGTGTGCGAAGATACACCACTTTGCATTTCTCCAGGTCAAAACTTGAACCATTTGCAGCTGTTCATGACCCCAGCTGCAACAGGTCGTTTCGTGGTATCCCAGGCTCCACTTTGTCGCCTACTACCCTCCATATTGTGACGTCGTCAGTGAAAAGGGGGATGGTTGAGTAGATTTTGGTGGGGAGGTTATCTATGAATAGCAAAAATAGGAGTGGCCCAAGGATCTCTTCTTAAGAAAAACTCCCGTTTTTGCGTTCCTGCAGGTTGATTGGATTCTGTTTACTTGAGTGCAGAATTTTCTTTCCCCTAGGTGTGGTGTAAACCATGCTAAGAGTGGTTCAGTGATATGCACTTTTGAAATTTTGACGGGCGTGTGGCAGCGTGGGACACAGTCGAAAGCTTTGGCCAAGTCCAAGAAAACGACGTGGACTGGTTGCTTTTTGTCCCATCTAGTCGTCCAGTCATCCCAAACGGTCACCAAGTTTGTGGTACGTGACAGATCAGTTCCGAAGCCATGTTGGATGGGAAGAACGATGTTGTTTCCGTCCCAAACAACACCTGCGACCCGCCCTCCAGTACTTTGGAAAGTATGGGGAGTAATGCTGTTGGTTTGCGGTTGCACAGATTTTTTCGGCCTCCTCTCCTGACAGTTGGTGAAGGGATGGTGCATCTCCATCGTTCAAGGAATTAACTCACCCCAAATGAGTGAGTGAGCAGGTTGCACATGTGTGCTTAGCACTTCGGCAGAGCTGCGTAGGACCACCGGTTTCATTCCGTCACAGCCCGACCACTCTCCTATTCTTAAAGTTGAAAGTTTCGCAAGCATCTGATTTGACGAAATCCTTACAATCATCAGCTTTGCATCTCAGTCCTTCATTAGATTACTAGATGTTGGTGACGAACGCATTACTGGGTTGAGTTGCTCGTCACATTGGCTACCTAACAGTTCCGCTGGCTCACTGCCGTTCAAAGGTTCTCCTTCCGGCTCTGTGATCAGGTTTAAACCCTATTCGTCGGTTTGCGTCGCGACATAAACCGATATGGACTTTTCAGGCTGTAACTTAACTGATTAGCTAGGTTGCTGTGGTATGCATGAGTTCTTATATCAAATGAGTTGCGTAACGACTCATACCTACGAAAGCCTGATTCTTTGCATGATGTGCGCCACCGATACCGTGCCTTCCTTTCTGTCTGTATTTGCCTTCCGGTAGCGCGAGTTATCCAGGAACTTTTGAGAGGCGGCTGTTCGGTTAATTACAGAACACTCTTCTCGATAGCGCTCCAGATAACATCTTTGATACTTATCCAGTATTCATCTGCCGATGGTGGGCGCCATTCTAGAGGCCGTGCAGCCTCCGTGAGTCCACTGCTCATGAGATGGTAGTCTGTTTTTCGGCAACAGCGGAACGCTTCTGACTCAGACATTGGCAGTGTCTCCCTGGTTATCAGAGAGAATGAATAAATGAACATTCTTATTCCCAGGTTATGAATTTAACAGCAAGTCATGGTTGCCTTTGGCTGGGGGGGGGCGAACACAGATATCGTCCACAAGAAGATCACCGTCTGTTAGAACGCAGTCGAGTAGTGACTGTTTTCCACCTTGTCCCCATCTGGTGTTTTCCCCAGCCGTCCCTAACATTCCTGCTGCCATAAAAGTAGTTTGAAGTTTGTGCTTGAAAGGCTTATGCTCATAACTTGCTTCCTGACATCCTAAAGTAAAATTCTGTTCCTTGTCATAACCTCTGTAGATCTGACTGGTCTTTCAACTCTGACAGGGGCAACCCCCACTGTTACCAAAGGTAAACTAGCATGGCAAACCTGATTCACCACTCGAAGTTTGTCTTCGTGGTGCACGTTTCCGTGGGATTTGCTCAACTTACACCCAAAGTATTCTTTGGTTTGTTTTCTCCAAAATGCGTGTCCTAAGCATCCTGAGGATGCTTCATCTTCTGCCCATAAACCTGGTTTTGTGTGTCAAGTACTTCGTGTCTGGATTGCCACGTAATGCGGATAACGCTTTCGGAATAAGGGCATTGAGACCCTTCGAGAATCTGTTGCAGGCTCTGTAGACCTGTTTGTCGACATGCTTGTAACTCTTTTGTTACTATCAAACTCCAAGTATTTCCGTCTGAATGCATGCAACAATCCAACGGGACCAAGCTGTCGCGATCTGAACAAGCTACCGAGCCCCACTGCATAGCTTCCCGAACTTCCTTGAGTTACGTACAGTTAAAGTTTATGTTTCAACAATGTCAAAACACAATTTAAGATGATAAATCTTCAGTACTATCAGACAACAAAAAGTTATGTCAAAATTACAAAGCTACCCCAACAATGTCGCTGGGCAACTATTCAGTCCAACGATTTCTCTAACAAAATACGTACTACACAGGAAAAATTGAATAACCAAATGCATCTGTTAAGTCGAATACCTGAGAATCAATGAGAATATTCCCAACAAAATGGGATCAGAACTCTGGCTAAAGAATGAAATCAACCAGTCAACGTTTCCGATAGACATTCAAAAGACAAGCGGTCAATTCACGGCGCAACCGTGGGCTAAAACAAAATAACAGGAACAGTAGAACGACGCCATGTTGTGAACAGTCCAGTACCACACGATGGCAAACTGCAGCATTCATGCCAAGTCTCAATCAAAGCAGAGACAAATAGCGAGTATAAAGTCAAAGAAGGCACGCAGGTAACAAAATATTATTACGTTGGTTAGGGTCAAAGGACGACGTCCATAAAGAGGGCGAAAATATTTAGATAAACATCAACACTGCTAAACAGAGTGCTCAGAAGGGATCTTCAAATCACTTATCCCATCACGCCCCCGTGGTTATTCTGGATCGAATTTTCCAACCTCTGAATTCCACTGCTAGCCGTAACCAATTGCATTATTTGGAGATCAACTGCTGAAAATATTTCTAACCCATTCAAAAAAATCTTTATGGCTGCCTAACTAAGGTTTTGCCATTTGGTCATGGGATTAAATCGTGGTTGAAAATTTTAATATGCCTGTCCTGTATCGCTTCGATGACCGAATCGCGTGGAGATAAAATGTCATTACACATACTTTCACAAAAATCATTTATGTATCCCATGCAATGTCTGGGTTGCGTTGTGGACCATGGGTTGGTGATTTAGTCACGAAGCTTTCATTGTCTTTCAAGACAACGTCATCAGCACTAACTTTAGTATGAAGTGTGATGTCAGTATGTTCCCA